CCCAGCCATAAAAATTTCGGACCGACAAGCACTCAATTTCATTCCTAACGATATAAATGGTTATATTTATATGCTGAAAAAATGAATACTTATCGAACAATTATTTATTAATAATGAATTTCTTTTTATACGTATAGAAATTCAATTCCAATAATCTTGTATTTAACGTATATGTATATGCAGACGAACAGTAATGCATCTCAATAATTCTGATTGGTTGATCCCTACTCTATTACTTTTCCGAGATTCCGTTTTCCAAAATCCGACTATAATGGAACAGCACCCTTATACTGGAAAATCAACTTACTCCCAATGACTGCGTTCAGCAGACTCAACAGTTTTGCAACGGTTTTATGATTGTCTGCTGAGATAGGACCATTCTTCTAGATCTAAAAGTATGATCCAATTAGCCATTGGCTGCGTTCAGCAGACTCAACAGTTTTGCAACCGTTTTATGATTGTCTACTGAGATAGGACCATTCTTCTAGATCTAAAAGTATGATCCAATTAGCGCGAAGGAAACTTACAACAGTTGCAAAACAAACGTTCTGCTGAACGCACCCATTGTATCTTACAGCCTTACCACTACTGCTACTGCCCATTGTAGACGACGCTTTAAGGTTACTGTTATGCATCGTTTACAATGGCAGTATCAGTAAGTCCGGGTCTACAATAGGTGTTTTAAGATTTAAGCCGTAAGAAACTGACCAATTATAGTCGAGGGGAATAATCGACTGTGATTCGCCCATTTCTTATGGCTTAAGGCTTAAAACCCTATTGTAGATCCGGGGTAATTATCAGTAATGTATGAGGCTGTAAGAATAAGAAATTGACCAATCACAGTCGATTATCCTTCTTACATTCAACTGTGATTGGTCAATTTCTTACTCTTACAGCCTCATCCATTACTGACATTGCCATTGTAGACGACGCATTACAAAATTTTGTGTGCGGCAGCTCTAATGCGTCATGCGTGGTCTACAATGGGCAGTAGCAGTAGTGGATTAAGAAGTAGACATTAGAAGTAGGCTGTAGGATTAGGGTCTCTTTACGTCTGAGTGTCTACAATGACTTAGAGACTTGCACCGATTTGTCTCCATGCTTCGGTTTTCACATTGGCGTTGGCATATAATTTTTCGGTCTTATCATACAAAAACCGATTGCACGGCAATTAATTCTCGGTTAATCCTTATTTCAAAATCACGCCCAAAACTATCATGAAACTCCATGTCTGCATAATGCGTGGTCTACAATGGGCAGTAGTAGTAGCGGATGAAGCAGTAAGACGTCGCAGCAAGCTGG